CATTGTATGTTTTGATGTAAAGCTTTGGGGTCTGACTTGACTTTTTGCCTGCTAGAATTGAAACCGTGGGACAGCCTGACAGACGGGACAGCCTGGGAGTGTGCGTGGAGCAGCAGAACGGCTACGATTCTCTGCAGCGAGATAAAGCTGTGTGCATTAGCACAAATGGTGAGTCTGAGTCACAGGGCTGAAGAACGCGACCCATTTTTCTCCCCCAAAACCTCAGCACCTCGTCCTTCGTGCCCCTGGAGAACACAGGAGCACCTTCACACACATTTCACGTGTCTGTTCTGCTCACAGTTGAAACCCTTTCTGAAATCTCAGGTTATCTTGCGCCTTCTGCACGCAGTTCCTGCAGCGTGTTTGACGTGGCAGAAAGCAACATGGCAGGACGGCCTTTCACTTTCGTTTGCCTGCAAAAATGAGAAATAACGTTTGATCCCTTGATTGTTTCAGGGGCAGTTTTTGTAAATGGAAAAGAGATGACAAACCAACTGCCTGCCGTCACTTCCGGATCGACTGTGACGTTTGACATGGAAGTTGTGCAGCTGGGGCCTCCCAGCACCGAGGGGGGAAGCTTCAAGCTGAGAGTAACCATCAGCTCTAACAACAGGGAAGTGGTCTTTGACTGGGTGCTGGATCAGTGCTGCGTCTCTCTGTACTTTGGATGTTCCTTTTCATACCCAGGCTGGAAAGTGCTGGTGTTTTAACAGCTTGGGAGAGTGAAGATTCTCGCTGTAATGCGTGCTGTCACAACCTGGGCTTCCAGCCGTTTTATATCAATCTTTCTACTACTTGAACTCCACTATATTGTACTCCTGCTGGATTCATTTCAAAAAATAATTGTGAAACAGTGGATTTGTTACTCTGGAAAAGGTCGAACAGGCAGTTACATAGACAATTGAAAGTTTAAAAAGCAAGACTTTTTTTTTTTTTTTCCTCCAGACTTGACTTTTTTTTTTAATCAGTATTTCATTGTACTCTAGGCTCAGGGTACGCTTGTTGTATGAAATTAACTTTGCTTAATGCTGCTGTTCTGTGAAATAAGCCTGTAAACTTTTAGGGAGTCGGAGGTAATGGACCAAAGTTGTATTTATGCCACTCCTGAAAAGAGCAGAGCATTTAGAGCAGCGATGCTCTGCTACGCTTCCTTGTATGCAATGCTGCTGTCATAATAAGGACAGACAGCAGGTCCTGCAGGCCACATAGCAGCTTCTTCTATGCACGGTACTGTTCACTCCTCCAGAACAAGGATGTCTGAGCCATGGTGTTTGTTCAGATATGGAGCTAATCTGTTCAACGTCTCACTCACGTGCCTTATTTCCAGGTATTTCTGCATTGTTTTCTGTACTGTCACTTGGGACGTGGTTTCTAGAGTAGTTCCACAGTGATGCTTACAGCCCCAGCTCAATGCTGACACTTGTCACATGCACCAACACCTACAGGAGGACAGTTACCTTATCTGGTCTGAATGTCTTTCCTGGTTATACTTTGTAGCCTAATCCAAGCAAATCTTGGGGATTTGGTACTTTTGTTTGACAGGTAGATGGAAGGAAGCTGTGATTCTTCACAGAGCCCTGCGCAGTGCAGAGGCCACTTCCTTTATATTGCACTGAGCAGCTGTTCCCACGTGTGGGATTCCCACAAGTGCACAAACTGTGTGCTCAGCTGCTCCAGGCAGGCTGGGGCTGCAGGCAGAGCCCACGGCACAGACTGAACCTGGGGCAGGCAGGGCAGAGCAGATGGCACCAAATCTCTCTGTAGTAGAGATACAGGATTAATTGAAACTGTGCATAAAATTACCAGTATTCCCCAGAAGTATCAAATAAGATTTATAATGATGAGCTTGTCAGACAGGTTATTTGGTCAAAAGATGGAATTGTGATACTGCTGGATTCAAGGAGTATTTTTAAATAATGCTCATCAAGGACCTTAAAGCAGACTTTCTTACCTCAAGTATGTGAGATTAGTAATATATATATATTTAATAACACCTAGACAATCATTCTGCCCTTTTTCTTCAGTTTCAACATGCCATATTACCCCTAATGCTGGCATAAATGGATTGGAATGGCATCCCCCCTATTTGCACCCTCAGTACAAAAAGATTAGCTGTCCTGCCTGTGTTTTTCTGCTAACATCTGTGAAAGGGAACTGCAGAAAAGGAGAATGGTGGCCGGTAATACAGCTTAGAAAAAACCATGGGTTGATTCAGATAGATGGAAAGTAGAAGTGGACTGGATTTTACTATTAAGCATGGAAGAGTGGACACCTGCAGGTAAGACTGATCTGTGCAAGCAAGGAAAAGCCCGCTGTATTGTCCACTTCTCGAGCAAAACTATTTCAGTGTTAGGGAGTAGAAAGATACTTGCATATGCTGTACTTCCAGTATTCCTTTTACCTAGTGTGAAGAATGTTGCTAACAGTGCTGCGTCCCGTCTGCCATCTCAAATATTGTTCTTTTGCTGTAGCCACAAAGGTTGAGCAGAGGTTCCAGGCGAGTCAGTGCTGCTCAGAGGCTGGCAGTGCTGCAGTCGCAGTCAGTTGTGCTCCGGTGGGACGATTCGGTAACTTTACCTGTAAGAGTCCAGGGGTCAGGTACAAATTCCAAGTCAGTACTGTGACTGAAAACTAAAATAGCAGATACCTGCACTTGTGAGGAGCCAGCAGCTCAGGTACCTCCCACCTGCTTTGTGAGGGTCTGGTCAGACTTGATGTTGCTGCTGTTTACCAGCACTGCGGGACATAAAGCTCGAGTTCAGGTACTTCCAGAGATGGAATGCTTTGTTTGTTCAGAGCATAGTTAGCAAGCAGCTGAAGATAACTGTGAAGGGCTGTCCCAGGACGCGCTGCCCCAGGACATCCCTACTGCTCCCCTTGAGCTGAGGATGGGAAGACACAATATTTGTTCTGACCTCAGTTTTTAGCTCCTCGTGACCAGGGCGGCATCCCTGGTGAACTTCTAACTCAGAGGAAGACTGGCTGCCCAATGAGTATTAGGTACTGCTCAGCCGCCTCATAGAAGCTGTACGCTTAAACCTGGGAAGGGTGAAGAATCCCAGGGCAAGAGAGCTGAGTAACTACATAACAAGGTATCCCAAGAGCCAGAAGAGGCTTGGATTAAAAAGGTTGAAATTCCGTTCTTCCTCAGCAGAGTTCAGCTAGATGGAGGACTGGGCCCTTCCTTCACAGCTTTGTCACCTCCAGCTACCGGAGCCTTGCAAGAGAGAGCAAACTGCTTGGGAAGTCCTGGAAGCGTTTTTGAAGCTCGTACGTTCACTTACCTCAACTAAGATGTTTGTGTCGAGTGAAATTTGAATTTTTTTTAAATAAAGTTTTATCCCACAGCCGCGTTTGTAAGTTGTGATTGGGGCATAACTGGGCACGGCTGAGCTCCTCTGATGAGCACAAATGCATTCTGGAGCACTGCAGCTCCCTTGAAGAGCTTCTCCCTTTCTCTCACTTTCATCTTCAGTTCCTCCAAAGTCCCACACAAGTTGTGCAGTTTGTGTACTTGCGTGTAAAACTTACATCTATGGTGATAGCTCTTGCAAACAAAGTTTCTTCCTTATTTTTTTTGCTTACCAAAGCATTTCTGTCACATTCTCAATATTCTGTCACAGCTTATTTGTCTGTTTCACTGTTTGCATCTTTTGTCAGATTCATTAATATAGATTTTGGCTCCTGTTACTAAGCAAGCAGCAGGACATCAAGAGAAGTCCCTGCTGAACAGAGTTCTTATTCCCCTAGTTCTGCTTTACCTGCAGCTTGCTCCATTTCTTTGGCGTCTTTTGAAGGCAACACACCTAGCTCATGAAACCAGTAAATAAGGAAGCTGACAGCAGAGAGCTCCCATAAATACAATATTGGTATGAAGGAACCTACTTGAGGTGCTCTGCCTGAAGAGCACAGCTTCAGACCTTCATCAGCAAACTCAGGACAGCAGATACCACAGCCTTGGAAGGAGAGGCTTCCCTTCACCCAAAGCTCTTCTCATGGCCGTGGAAGCATGGGAGAGCAGATCTACGAGGAGCTGGGCCAGCAGGAAGGCCTTCATTCCAGCACTCAGCGATGGCACCGAACTGCTCTGTGAACACCGAACAAGATCATCAAATTGTCCTCACAGATCAGCTCCCACATTGGCAGAGGTAAGCTGCTCGTTTGCAGCAGGTTACATGTTTAAGTTTTAAGTGACTCCGAGGTTGTAATCAGCACAGTTCAAACTGTGACTGCTTCATCCCAGAAAGCAAATCTCTTCCTCCCATCACAACCCCCTGCTTTTCAAGGGCTGATACGGAAACTATGCTTATGGTGCTCAAGGTTAACAGTATACATTCACCTAATAATTTTGGTGAGAGTATCTAATACACTGAATTCAATATGAAAGTAAAGTGGGTGGTTGCAACTTGGGGTTCAGAGACCAGCTGTGTTAAAATAAGCACCAAAAAACATACCAGAAATCTGCCATCAGCACATGAAGCTCAGTTAGAACAACAGTTCCAGAGGGCCGCACAACCGATAGCGCAGAATCCAGCGGTCACAGCCTGCATCTCAAAATCCCATTCACTTTTAACACAGAAAAAGGGTTTCAGCGTCTGCTCTTCAGCCCCTGCTATTGCAGTGAGCACTGCAACTCACTGCTTAATTCTACAGCACGGAGAGAACAGGGCCTCTGCAATAGGAGATGCACTGTTTGAAACTGCTATTGATTAAATGCAAGTCAAGATCTGCTTGAAACAACTGCTTGCACGTGAAGAAACAAAACCCGACTGCTCTTATTTTCCTAGCAGAAAACCGAGCCATAGCTTCACGCGTGCAATTCAAGTGCTCACAAGAGCTGCAGGGCAGGAACTTGTGGAGGCCCTCGCACACAGCGCAGACAGCAGCCGGCCGAGTTGCAGGTGAGCGCAGAGGCAGCGGAGTCGCAGGGCGCTGCTGGGCCTTTCTGCATGCACACAAAGGAGCAGACAACCAGCGTGGCACGTTTTATATTACTGAACTTTATGTACAAAAGCCGATTTCAAATAAAACATTTAATGTAAAAACAATGGTTCATTTAAACAACTGAACTTGGTTTGTTTTTGCTTTTTTTCTTTCCTTAAACATCTATTGTACCATTCAAATTGTTTAAACCAGCTTACACGGCATCTTCAAAATCTCTCAAAGGTACATATAGAAAAGGCATCTTTATAAATAGAAAACAAAGGGATTTTTTCAGCTTTTATTATAAATTGACATGACATACAAAGTTTACTGGACAGAAGTAATTTCATTACTGTTTTTTGGGGGATCACCAACTTTTTGTGCAAACAATGCTAGCCTTCTTTTAAGCATTAAGAGCATAACTGCTTAAGAAATGACATAAGCAATAATTCTAAACTACATCTCCCCTAAAATAATCTATTCTTTTTTTACATATGTGCACAGCTTTAGCAAATTAAAGCCAGAGAGAAATGCTTGATGTACTTATCCAGAGGCATAATTAGAGCTCGCTAAAACCCAGAGTGCTGGCAAATTCAAGAAGTTTGTAATGAAAGCTGCAGTTTCCCTCTTTCCTATTTTGTACACAAAATCAGTGACTAAGAACTTAATACTGGATGACAAATCACATCCACACCATTAGTTAAATAGTCTCACAGTTAAACACATCTTAAAGGACCATCAAAATCAGTATTTACATTTTATAAATTTCTGAAGACACCATTAGAAAGCTTATATACCCCTTAAACAAATAGGGAACTGCATCTCATGGTGATGGAATGAAATAAAAAATTAAAAATACCTGTATTTACAGCAGCATTGTTCCTTTATAAATAAAGAATATGAAAAATGCAATATTTTAAGGATAATAAAAAATTGAGGTGATGTCACTCAACCACAGTGCTTGCTGGAATAAACCCTTCGGTGCTGATACTGTACCAGTAGTGAAACCACTTTCCATTGGAAAAAATCTGTAAACGTATGCATAAAATGTGTTAACAGCAGTGCAAAACTGCTCAAATATAGTTTAGTCAGCATCTTAGCATCTGTATTGAATACAATACATCACAGAATACTTGCATAAGAAGTGCAACACATTTTCTGGTCCAATTTTACAGTGCATTTTTCCCTCAAGAGTGGCATCTCAAAAGCCAAAGCCAAACCACGGCCCGGCCCCGCAGGCTGCGCTCACACAACAGCAGGCTGAGCTGCAGGCCGGGCAGCAGCGCGGCTCCCTGCGACGGAGCTCCGCGTGCGGTCGTGTAGCTGTGGAAATGCGTACTAAAACTAGAAAGGAGCTAAGGTTCAAGTTTTCAATGGTACACTGTGTGATCAACGCATCAGAATTATCCATAAACCAAACTGCCGGTAACCTCAAAAAGCCAAGGAGGAACTTCACTGTGTCTGCAACGTGAAAAGCCAACATCTTTCCAAACAGGCACACGACAAAGGAAGTGCTAAGGTCGCCAACTTCTACACTGAGTGTAACGTGAGTTTGTCATTACCAGCACTGCATAAATGATTTCAAACGCAAGGATCCAGGTTAAACTTTAAATAGTGAGACCTTATTTTCACCAAAAGCTAACTGGAGAACTTCTAAATAAGAGAAGCAGAAACTGTATCCCAAACCCCTTCACAACTTCATGGTAGGAAAAACAGCCAGATACAGATGCAAAAATCTTAATATAAAAACTGTTTTACATATATTTAAATTATGTAAATTCCATAAAGTTCTTAAGACACTAATTACTAAAATTACAAAAAGATTTTCATATTGCTCTTCATGCTCAAACTCTTAGAATATTGTCATTACATCACCAAAACCGATATACATGTAGTACTTGCATAAGTAACTGAATAGAAACCCTGTTAAAACGAAATCCTTGTTGAAATCATTTATTTCCATCCAGCAGTGCCTGTTTGGAATCTGTATTTTTTTGTGTGTAATTCTTTATAGAGCTCATGCACCCTAGAATGTCACTTCAATGCTGTCCGTTGAATGGAATTTCGCTTCTGACTTCAGAGCTTTTGTTTCTTGCTCTGTTTTGTGACACCTGAGATGCTATCCATTTCTGAAATCCTCTCTCTCATGTTATTTTCACTGTATCCGTTTGCTGTCCCACTCTGCTCCTCAGAAGATTCCTCATCCATTGGGGAGGTCGATTCTCCTTTCTCTAACTTCTGCTGCATCTCTCGGAGCCTGGCAACAGCTTTGTCTATTGACATTATGCTGATGAGGTTAAAGTCATGCATGCTGACCAGGTGTAGCATAAAGTTTCGACACAAGTTCTTCTTAATTATTTTCTGTCCGTAATTTTCAACAAACAGCATACAGGCATGATTCATTTGATTGTCAGCAATAAACCTGCCAAATCAGAAACCAGCCGTTACAGCAGAATATTTTCAAAACCAAGAAGATACACGGACGAACCGAGCTGCAGGACAACTGCTCAGACTTGGACGCAGTAGCATTATTTGCAACTTCCTTGTTTTCAAAGCTGCAGCACTACGAGGCACAAGAAGCTACTTTTAAACTGAACAGGCAGCTTCCCACCAAACTGGCCTTTACCAACCCCTTTCTATGCACAGAATTTATAGTGCTTAGCAAAAGAGTCAACCGAACACGTAACCTTGTTGTATCAAAATTAAGCTTACAGTAACATACCCGTGCTTCATAACATGAAGATTCCATAATTTCATCACTTCTTTCTCTCCTTCATTAACATCAGAGAACTCTTCAATTTGCTGGAAAGATAAAAGAGCGAGAAGAAGGACAGAAGGAAAACGTGAGAACTGCATGTAAGCTACAAGCAGTGCCAGCACGCCTACAATTAACGCGTCACCCACACGTCAGAAGTGACTGAAAACTGGAGCACTGCAGTCAGAAAGGTCAGAACAACGTTGGATCACAGACTGCCATCAATCATTTCCAGATCTTATACACACTGCTGCATTCCAGTGGCAGCACCATCTCTGTGAAGGAACACAGCCACACGCTGCACAAAGCTTGCTAGGACTCACAGGAACTGAGCTAGCACTGCAACCGAAGACAAGAAAATACAGACTTTTTTACCTCACTACTGGCAGAGCAACACAATTTTGTTGACTCCCCAAGTGAACGCATAATTTTCACAACGGATGCCCAATTTGTTCCCTAAAGCAACCGCAGAGCATCACTTAAAAACCACAATCCACCAAAAACAGCTGTGAAATAATTACAGTAATGGTTTTCTCTCGTAGCCATTCAGGGTCCTTTTCATCCTCACTGTCTACTTCCATTTCTTGTGGACGGAGAGGTAAACATGTGTCACTGTGGAAATACAAGCGATTGTGCCCACTGCTGTACGTTCGCTGCTGTTCTACTTCTCCATCTTCAGATTCCAGAAATTCAGACATACTTGCTTTCGTACGCTTTGGCCTGGCAGAATGAGAAACATTCACTGCTTTCAACCATTCAATCAAACATGCAAATACTGTTTATGGCAGTTGATTAATACAAATTCTTCTGAGCTCCAGTCTGCAAAACTAACAGTGTAATATCCCCCTTTAAAAGAAAAAACAAGCCTAGCCATAACCCCTCTCCCCAAAAAACTGCACTAACTTTTGGGGAAGACAAGGACAAGGCTGTTTAAAAAAAAAATAAATTACCTCACGATGACATAAATGCCTCAACAGATGTAAAATCAGAGATAAAGACACCATTCCTCAACAACATTTCATTTAATCAGGAACAGCTGTACTTTAACGCCAGTGAAACGTATCACTGCTCACACACAGCTGGATTTGCAGATCTCAGTCACACGCTGCATTACACGAGTCTGAACAGACATGCTTTCCAATCTCCCTACCTGCATACGAGTATGTGTGTGATAGGAGTTCTTTTGACCGGCCCATTGCGACTGAAGGCAAACCCAGGCTGGCGGTGGATGTCCTGCGGGTTCCCCGCGTACGAGCCGTCGTAGCACTCGTTGATGGACACGTCGATCCGAGCGCCTTTCGGGTGGTACTGAAACAGATCACAGCCCGCTCAGCAGCACGCCACAGCTTTAAACAAGCGACCTTCCCAGTTCCCAGTTCCTTAAACATCCTGTCAGTAAGCTGACGTCGCTCCAGATCCCCTTTACACCACCCAAATTATGTTTAACTTCCAGAAACAAATGACATAAAGCTTCCTTGCTCTACACTGTCTTACTGTTTCACATGAATACACTCAGAATACATCAAAGTACTAAATTAAGGACAACAATGCTACAAGCTTGCTTAACAAGAAACCTAGAAATCAGAACATTCCTAACTAGCTAAGGAGCTAAGATTTGGAATAGTTTTCTGAGCAGGGGAGTGGGCCCATGAACCTACTACATGCATACATAACAAAAGAAAACAGAATTTATCTTCAGGATCACATTGGTAGGATTTCACCAGCATGACTAAATTTAATACTTAAAATGCTTTCTTAAAGCTTCAAGAGACTTCCAACCAAATGCAGAAGTCATTGCTTTTTACAACAGAAAAAGAATATGCTAATGCAGAAGAGGCACCTGCTGTAAGAACACAGCAGGTTTGTTTCTCACGTGAAAGGTCAACATTCACATAATTTCACGTTAAGTAAAGTCAAAGGAAGCTGCAGCAAATCTGTAGGTACAGCCCTCCAACTTAATTGGCTAGCAATGAAGTTACTGCATCATACAATCTGCAACAAACCGTACAGCATTTCATACCATTAAACTACCACAGTGCTACTTACAACATAATTAAAGATAAATCTGCTGTGACAAAGTTTAAGGTGTTTGAGCAAACTGTACAGTTTCCGGCAGTTCAGCGTGCACCACGGGCAATGCAAGTCATCTCGGGCTTCAGTCTGCTGTCTGGTGTTGTTGTTATAAAGGAACTGATGCAAACAAAGAAAAAACAGTGTTAGCATCAAATGAACTTCATTCATCAACCTTCCAACCGGAAAACAAAGCTGGACTTCATTTCAGGAAATCTCTACAGTAAGTTTTTGGGAACACCAGATCAGCTCACTTTACTGAGGATTCCCTTCCTCCATATGGAGACCACCACTCCCTCCCAGATGTCCAATTTGGAACACGTCAGACATGGCCCCAAGAAGACTGATTTTTCTAAAATACTTCCTGAATAGAAACATGTGGACTGGGTCCTCCTGTGTGAACTTGGGACCTCATAGGGCATCCGTTAAGGCAGCAAAAGAGAGTGTTCTACAGCCACAATTGAACCTTTCACCCAACTCAGATGTGAACGTTACAATCCCTCACAGTGTTTACACTCCTCCCCACCACCACCCCTCTTATTTCAATACCTGGTAAAATATTCGCAACTTTTGTCGAGGTTCATTTAAAACATCTCTCTCTTTTCTTGTCTGAAGGTCTGCTGGCAAGGATTCTTTCACAGCTGAAAAAAAAAAACCCCACACGTATAAAAACACATTTCAGTTTAGGGTAAAGAGGAAAAGATGGAAGTCCCATGCAGGGTTCCCTGCTGGGAAGGGATCGAGGCACTCTGAACTTCGATGCAAGTAGCTCACATCAGCAGAAAGCCTTGGTGCTTAGTTTCTTTTACAAATCTACAGGCAAAACCACCACTTCCAAAATTATCTTCAGAGAACTCAAGAACAGCTGGGTAAACACTTTCCTTTCTCCTGTTAGACAGAATTCTTTAGCTGTAGATGCCTTTGATGTCTTTTTTCCATTGGTCTGCCTTGGAAACGCGCTGAAGTATGGTGACAGCACTGGATTCAGACACCCTTGGGAAAGATGCACCAGGATCCTCTCTTCTACTTATCAGAACCTCTGATTGACACGAGTTTCCTACCATTTCCACTCCTTTCTTGGCAGTGACTGAAAGCAGCTCAAGTACCTTCCAATGCTGTGCTTTGCATGGTGCTTTGCAATGCTGTGCTTTTCATACTACTGTATATTCCTACAGTAAGAGTCTGCCGTACTATTTTGGAAGGCAACACTGACTTTACCAACTTACTGGAATACTCAGCTTCTCTGATGCTAAAAATGCAGGTTCTAACAGTACATGAATAATGCAGCCATGCCACATCCCTATTCCTCCTGATTATTACATAGTAAACCAGTACACACCTCCTATTGCTGGTCAGCAGTCACTTCCTTTCACAAGTCTAAGCCACAAACCTGCCTAACAGATCACACAGTAGAAATTCTAAAATACAAGGAAATAGAAAACAGAGCAGAACAACTCCGACAGTGAAAGTTCAAGTACTTTCCTGCTTCTGTTGCCTTTCTCCTATTAGAAATTACTTCACAGTCACATGTTTTAAGTGTCAGCCATTTATCTATAAGGAATTATGAAAAAGTTTAAGTCTCTGCCATCCCTCGCTCAGATAAAATACTCAATTCAAAAGACAGAAATCTGCCTTTAATATTCTTGTACAAAGAAACCTTGAAAAACAGAAGTGCTAAGAGATGATTCTTCAGCACCAGGACTGAAGTTTGCTTACCTATAGTCTGAGTAGGTTTAACAGAATTGGGTTTGTTCTCTTGAGGCAGGCTTTCAGAATTCCGTGTTGCCAGAGGCTTGGCTATAGGAGCTGTAGACTTATCATTTGTGTCTCCTGTCCAACGAAGAGTAAACTGAAGTGTGGGTCCCTGAGAAAATGTTTCAAACGGGGGCAACCTCTGATGGAAAAAAAAAAAAGCAAAGACAAAACTCCCTTAGAATTGGTGTCTCTTAAGGCCAGACAATGTGCGTGTTTTCCTAAGACAAATGTATAAATCATTGAAAAAAATAGTTGCTAACATCTGCTTTTTAATGATCTAGCTTTCCTAAACCAGGAGTTCAATTTGAACTTGTTCCCACACATCCTGAAACAGAGGTACTGTTGCTTGTTCAGCCTATTTCATTTCCAGAGCAACAGCCACTGCACTTTGAATTATTTTTCAGCTTTATGCAGAACATTCAAAGTGAGGACAAGTCTTTCAGCCACTAGAACAACCCATACCTTCCCATCAAGTATTGTTTCCCATGTTGCTCTTTTCTTACTGATGGGACACTCTTCCATTTCCTGCATGGCCACTTCATATTCTCCATCCAGAAGCTGCAGTCGCCTGTCAGTGAGAAGCATGTCTCGTGAGTAATAAAACTAATTTTTAATTGTGTTGTTTGCTTATGAAAATGTAAAATATACATCACAATAACTAATTTTCCATGAAACTAAATGCATTTTTTCAGGCAAATTTAAATGTGTGCTTCAAAATCTACAGATAGCAAGACTAGGATCTGATTGTATCTCCTGCATAGAAACGCAGTAAGAGACAGCCAACGAATTAAAGAACAAGTTTAGTACTAAAGAAATCTCTAATAATTAACAGAAGCAATATTTACTTGGAATTATTACCTGTTTTTATCAAATACAGTCATCTGTGCTACAAATGTCTTTTCTCCATCTTCACGATTCGAAGAATTCCTTTTCCTTCTAGCTGGAAGCTCCTCATTGACATCTGCACACAACAACACGGCACTCAATTATTACCAAGGCACAAACGTGAATAGCAGAACAGCTTCTACACAGTCATACTGGCTGCTGCACACAACAGAATGACACAGTATTTAATGAACAGCTAAATGTCAATGGGAAGAGCACTTAGCAGCACAGCAATCATATTTTAGACACATTTGTGCATATTTACAGCCCCGTCATATTAGTCTGTTAGTATAAAGAAAGTATAAAAAGTAACACATTCTGAGGAAGTATTTGTTGGATAATCATTTCATTCTGATGAGAGCACCCACAGCTGAGTCAGCAGTGACCAGTGTTAATGTAGGCCCAAAGTCAGATCCAGAGACCACATTACATTATTCCCTACCAGCACTGTCTAACAACTTCACCATCACACATCAATACAAACTGCTGCTAAATTTACACACAGTTTCTAGCTAAAAACTACAGTTCAGCCCTATGTGGAAAAGGCTGAAAACAAGTGCAAGTCAGTTCAGTCACTCTTCTATTACTGCCTCCCCCAGGTAGGACCTACATTAACCTACATGTGATCACGACAACTACAAGATAAACCTCATAAATTAATATTTGAAGACTGAATTTACCAATGTTTTCGTTAGTCTCGCCATTAATCAGTCCATTAAAATCTCTTCTTCCTGGGCGAGTTACTCTGAATAACAATGAGTAAGACTTCACCATGTGGCTGTTGCTTGGTTCAAACTCATTGCTGGAAACTGCAAGTGATGGGAAGTTGCCTGGTTTGATTTGACTGAGGTCTGGGTTTAAAGGCACCTGCTTTTTACCTGTAGGAACCTGTCTTATTGGACAACTGACATCCTGTAGGAAAACAAGAAAGCCAAGGTTTAGGTTTTTAGAATACAAAATTAATTGACATTAACTGTTACAAATTATAATTTATGGATTGTGCTGTCATCTTTTTGAAAATAAGCCTTGTAACAGGGGTAAACAAGAACAGAAGGAGAATGCCAGGTTTTAAATGAAAAATACACTTCTAAGTGTGCATAAAATTGGCAACTTTTAGCAACAGCCATCTTTCTCTAAGTGATTAAATTAATGAGACATTCTGAAAAAACTGTAGAACAGTCATTAATGCTAATTTAATTCTGTTTACTTAGAGAAATGAAATGTTTTGGTTATATATACATTCTAAGGGCTTCCTGTCTTCTCCTTCCAATATTACAAAGTGCACTTATGTGCTATCAGGGAGATAAAGGCCCACTTCCCTAGGATTTATTATATTCAGTATCTCTCAGATAGATCATGGAACACTGTGAAATATTGGCAAAACAAGGCAAGATGGTCTAAGCATGAAATCTGCAACAAAACATACTTCAAAATGTTAACTCTTAAAACCACGCCAAAACAGTTCAATATTCTTAGGGAAAATATACAGTTCTCACTCTGACTTTTCCCTTTTGGGTTAAAAATTATGGTGTGCATTACTGAGCCACCCATAGCTGTGAGGGTGATCTGTCAGCTGGTGTGAAACATAGCTAAAGCAGAAAGAGAAGGGATGAAGGGATGAAAACTCTGTATGATTCATAGTAGCTAAAATCTCCAATTACTGAGATGGTCAGTGCATAAACGTGGGTACAGAAAAAGCAGAGAAAGACAAGACTTACTTATGACTTACAATGAGTGAAATTCAACGAAAATAAGGTGGGAGACCTTTGTAAAACTTCCACTTATTTCTCAGTAAACAGAGAAAAAAAAGATTTATGTATTTTCTTCTGAAGAAGCCTCTGTTCAGTCAGCAGAAAACAATTATTGACGAGTAGGTAAACACTAAATCAATCTCAACAGAAACATAATTTCACCATTAGCTTCTTGTATGGCAAAGGTAATGAGACATTCCAGAATCACAACCACGCTTTGCTCTGCTGCACGTTAACAGTTTCCAAGCCACTCCTACCTTTCGTTTCTTGTGGCAGACTTTCACAAGCAGTACTTCCAGGGTTACAGAATTTTGTTCATTCTCTGAGTTTTGTGATGGCTTATCTAAAGAGAAGAAAGTATTTTAAGCTCTGAAAAAGTAAGAGAGCTGTTCAGTGAAGTACATCGATGTACTTTTGAGCCATAGCTACACTCAGGCACAAAGTTGATTCTAAGTGTCAATTCTCCCTATATTCATTCCAAGTTCCCACTTTAGAACATATCCTACCTAACAACTATTTACAGATTAAAAACATCTTTAGCATCTAATGGCACATTTACTCTTGGTTTCCTTTGAAAATAATTCTAACTTTTGTCACAAAAACACAACCAGAAAAAAAAAAAAATACAAGCTTCATTTCTGGAATCAGAGTCATGGAGATGAGTGTGAAGACGACCCCTGAAACAGCAAACTGCATGTGAACAACCAGGTGCTAAGGGGAAAACCTGAACGAGTTTCATGCGCTCCAGGTGAGAATTCTGGTAGCTGATGTGGAGTTGCCAGCAGTTTTATGAAAATATGGATTTTTTTTTCAATTTTAAACACAAGATACATTGGAAAGCTTTTCTTAGAAAACACAAATTCAGAATAAAAAAGCCTCTGTACTCTCTTGAAAGAATTTCCAACATATCTTTCTATCCAGATAAACGAGTGTATCAGTTGTGAGCTTCCTTAATTTACATACTTTCTATATTTCCTATTTGCTGCAGTGCATACTGTGTGTATTAGCAATGGTCAATGGACAAGCACTGGACACGCTCCTGCTACATGCAGTCCTCTCTTGAAATGCAAGTTTGGAATGAAAGTTAACAATACAGAAGCCAACAAATCCAGTAATGTATCAAAATTCTCCTATAGCCTGCATCTCTATAGGGCTATCCAGTATAAGAGCAGTGAGAAAGGCAAGGCCTGTCAGCACTACAGAACAGCTACTGACCCAGAGGCAGTTCCCTGTGTCAGGTTTAATGCCATGGAGTTTCCAAATGTGATCTTTCTGGAATGAAAGACTGGAAGCAGCTTTTACACCCAAGGAGAAATATGCAACTCAGAATATTTACAAATGAAAAAAAACCAACAGAAATACCACTTAATTTTAATGTATAAACAGGTAATATTTTTCAGGGAAGTAAAAAGACAGGGAATTTACCAATGCCTACAGAGCATAAAGCATGCAACTTCTGCTTTCGTTATGGGAACGGAACCCTTCATTCTGGTCAGGGAAGTCCAATATTCTGATTTTGAGAGGTAATGCCTTACGTGCATGAAAGACAATAAAATGATTGTAAGTCACTGGTAAATGATTGCAGTCACTCTCAGTCTCTGACATGACTTTGCCTGACTTCTAGGCTCTACCTGATACGATTTGCTCTCACATTTGTGCCTTGGGGGAAAAAAGGAGAACGACAAAACCAGAGCACTGAATCTGCTGACCAGTTCCAGTTCTGGAGCTTTCTTGGTGGTAGGCTGTGTTTTTTTTTTAACTTCAACAACACAGTTCCATAAAATCATTTTCTTCAGGAACTCTTTCCTCAAGGTCTATTTCAAGGTTGAATGGATGATGGCAAAGTCACTGTTTTGTCTAAAAACCTGGAGGGCTTATCTGCTTAACACTACAGATACACTAAAACATATTCAAAGCTCACACTGAAGTCCTGTAACTAGTGGGACAGATAGAGAATAAATAAGTTAAAATCTGCATCTAAGCAGCAGAGATTGTAACACATCATTTAAATATTCCTCTCAGTGACCTACATGAATTTCAAACTTGTACACGTTAATGGTGCAATGAGTGAAGCAAACATACCATTTTTATGGAAGAAACCAGTAAACGTAAGCTGCAAATGAGCAGACAAGCTAAGAGAAAGAGAAAGGATATGTTAGAACAAGAAGAATTTTTCCACACAGCAGCCCCCACTCACTGTTTCAGCTCTAACCATAATAATGGAGTCCTTTCCTTTAACTGCTTTGAAAAACTGCTTGGAAACAGCACCCATTAAGTTGCAGTGAATGCAAAGCTATAGACCAGTCTTCTCTTTAAAGACTAACTCTATTTTATGACTTGACAGTGAGTAAAACGGAGGAAAGGCAGGGGTTTAAAAGGATGCTGTGTGAAGACATGAGACGCTGCCACCACAGGCACGTGGGTGCTCCCCAGGCATCTGTCAGCACAGGTCAGTTTAATGGAAACTGCCTAGAAACAATTTGGTTTTTTTTCCCCACACAACTACAAACACAGGCTTAAGAAGGGCATGTATACAGTTGTATAAACCCTCAACATTACAACCAGCACACATCACTCAATTCAACATTTTGGAATCTATGTTTCAATAGCAGAGTATCTTTGTTCTACCAACTACTCTATCACCTTAATTTTGTCACCCAAAAAGCCTTTCAACTCAGCATACACACGTGCTCAGCCCCACAAACACAAACATGTATACATATATGCACAACATTACCTGTGAGATTCTTGTTCTCCCTTCATTTTCTCTACTTTTGATAACATATCATCTACTTTGAACGTTTTCCTGTAGAGAAACAGGAAGAGAAGAGTTTGAGCATAGTCACTTTCCCCATAATATTTAACAAGCTGTATTCAGTCTGAACTTTGACTTGATTATTTATCAAGAACTATACATGTAATTTTAGCCTTCCATTTACAAAGAACCCATTTTTGGAAATTTTCAGCTGTACATTATGCACATACATTATAGGAATACCACTATAATACAGCTTTTCAAGCAGTAGAAACATAGCACAAATAATTAAGCAGACCTTTGACAAGTAATATGGCTGCTCATAGGAAGTGCCTTTGAACTGCATATTAAACCTTGCTATGGATGTGTCTAATGGCATCCCAGCTCAGCTCAAACAAATCCTCCTGCTTTAGTGACACTTAACACAATCAGAAGTGTTCAAGTAAACTCTCTCCAGTCACTGCTATTTTCATCTTGACCAAATCATGAAAACCATTTAAAATCCTATCTGAGCAAAATAGAAACCTAATGAGAGAAGACTTTTCCTCCACAAAGTTGCATTAAGTAGACACACACACAAAGCACACTGAATTTTGAACCTACTTATGGAGCTCACTCGCAGGAAATGCAGGCGCAAATCATGACAGAATGTTATAGAGAAGAACCACCTCAAATCATTTCAACATCAGTCTGTCTGTGCTTCTATATTCAGCCTGTTTACTACATATGCACCATTTAATAGCCATAGTTAAATGAAGTTCACACACGAACATCAGTTACTCCATAGTTTCTGGAATAATCTTTCCATTTCTCTTTATGGGAAAACTGATGTGTGGAGCCAAAGGCCAACAGGAAGCACAAAGCCAGTGAGGGCATCCTTCCTTCACATCTTACACCAAGAACTGCTCCAGCCTGCATGTAATACTTGCAAGCACTAAGAATTCAAAAACAAGAATGACGCGTTTCCAAATGTCAAAGTCAAGGTGGGCAAAATAAAAGACATCATAAAATCTTTCAGAAAAAGAGTAAAAATGGCAAAGGAACACAGCAAAACCCATTAAATCAAATTTGCTGCATTCGAAGGTAACTTCTAAGAGCAGAAGGAAGTACAGCATAACTGTTTTCATGCATGAATAAAGAACACAGTCACTTCAGAGACAAAACTGAGCTTAGAGCAGCCCTTAACACCTCGGGTTTGTAAGGCAGCATTTACTTGTGGTAAGAATGTGTTCATTTTACACATTCCTCTCACCACCCACTCTCACTCCTATCCAGAGCAGCAATAATTAACAAAGTATTAGAAGTCGCATCCCAGTAGCATGCCAATAAATAAAAACACTCCATTATCAAAATGCTGTATGGAAAGCATTTGTTCCACCTACATCGTTTGGTAGAATACGAAAGTAACACTGACCCACAGGCCAACAGCCCATTTCAATCTTCCATTAGGCACCACTTTACCAAAGCACACAGCCCAAGCTGTGCTCATTAGCTACTGCCTATTAGCATCTCCTTATACTTGAAGCATCCTGGCTGTTCCAAATACCAGTCTCCATATTAAACATCTACCAACAGCAATAGAAAATTCCTTGGTAAAAATACAGTTGTAGTTCCTTACTTCCCACTGATAAACTTTGGGATTTTTCTCAGATTATTGTAGGGCTGGTTATAAGAGATGTGGAGTGATAATTATCATTGAAATAGTTAATTTGCATCAAGTTTGGTGATAACTTTGTTGTTTTTACATACAACATTGTTGATCAAAATGGCCATCAAAACAACGGCCAGGAATTTAAGAATGGCCAAATTACTGTCTTAGAGGGAAAATAAATAAATAGGCCTGTATTGTAAAGGTTAATGTAAACAGACCAAGAATGATGAGCTCCAGAAGATACTTCTTTGCAACCAGAACTCTCCCAATGTTTTTACCGTACTGAAGCAAGGTAGGTACATAAATCTTTCCAAACAAGCCGCAGTAACATCTTCCACTCTAGTTTGGGTATTTTCCCTCTTCTAAAACCTCTTAATGATTGAAATGGCTGCTAATCTGCCAGTTATGAATCAAAACCCAACCTAAAATCACACTTCAGGAACAGGGTGCCATGGGCACTAAAATAACTCAGTATGTTTCAGAGACAAACTAAGCTGTTGGTGCTGCTGAAATTGAACTGGAATTTGGAGCAGTGGACAACACAACGTACATGCACAGTATCACTTGTTTCCCAGCAACGACAGCAAACACTCACAGAAACAGAGTAAGATTCAGGTAAAAGATCACATGCATTTCAATCAACTATAAATTAAAATAAGTACTAAGCAAGAACAACTTCCTGTTGCACAATTCTAGTTGAAGGAAAAAAAAACAACAGACACAAGAGCCACCTGAACACTTTCTCCTTCCAGTTTGGCTCTGCCCTACTTTAAAAGATGCAAACAATCCACTTTGGTAACTTCTGTAAGAAAAAGCAGCAACTTCAAGAAACAAATCTGATCAAAAGATAAGATGCAAGCAGTGTCAGTCCTGAAGCTGCACATTATTGATGCCATTGTAATAAAACAGTGGGAACATTGAATTAAGCCCAAGTGACCTAAGGATGCTAAGTATAGCCTCTTTAAGTTGATTTAAATGTCACAAATTCTATTGCTCAACGGATCATTCAAAAGTTACCTTGCTTAGACACAAATACAGCATAAAGCAGAACTGTCTGCAAAATCTGATTGCTGCAATTTCTTGTGTTCATTATCAACTACTTCTGTCCCACAGCAACTGGTACACAGTGAGAACTTCCCTATTAAAACACGACCTGTTCAAGCTACAGAAAAAATCCCAAATGTAGCAAAGGAATTTCTGTGAGAGGAAAAAAGTGAAGGGACTTTGCAGTTCTACAAACAACACACACCAACACATGCACTTCTCATGCTGCAGTACTTACATCTTTTAGGCTACTGACATGCAGCTCTAACACTCATAGGACATTAGCAACGATTTGGCAATGCCAAAACCAAAGCCCGATGCTCAGACAGGTGCAGTTCAAAGCAACCTTTTTAAAGTTCTGGGTGGATCTTTTGTGAAATGCTACAAATTAACCTCATTTGTTTTTCACCTGGTTAAAACAGTTACAGGAAAGAGCAGTGGTTTCTTCTAATCCTAAATAACAAAAGGGACATAAGGGGATTTTGCTTTTTTTGTTCTTTCGATTTTATTTTTTATTTTAATTTATTTTCTTTTTTTAAAAAGCTCAGTTTAAATATTCACGATTAAGCATCACTGATTTCTTAAGTCCAGATGCTAAACAGCTTTTAGTTAATTTATTTACTTTTAAGAAATTCAGTCCCAAAACAAAGCAGACATGGATAATTTCGATGAGGATTCTGCAGTCACAACGCAGTCCTCCCTACAGCAGAAATCACAGCTATAAGAATCACACGTGCTTCACAAGGCAGAAAAACTCGTTGGCTTTAGAAATAACTGCAAAGCGATCATCAAATTTTTTGGAGTTAACATTCAGGATTACTTTTCAAAATAGTTGTTTTACCTTTTGATATTTGTTCGGGAGTTTCTGTGGGACATGTAAGTAAGAGTTCTGTGCAAAAATATCGGCTGCGGGAAAAGAAATGAGAAAGGTTAAATGCTTTATTAGCTTGCCACAAGTCCAAAGTAAAAGTGATAAAAACCCGATTACTCACTGCTATGAGATTCCGGGTCCGTAGAAATCTGTATATCTGTGTTGGTTCTGAGAAAAAGAAACAGGTATTATCCACCATGCTTTAAACCTCTACAACAGCCTTTAACGATGCGACAGTATCCCACTTAACACATTATTTGTTCTTAACGATGATCACAGAAGTGGCAGTTTAAGCACTGCATCACCATGTCTAAATAACTCCGAGTAAACAAGTCATTATTCTACCTACTGTAAAACACAAAGTGCCTCCTTGTTTAAGCTACCAGAAACCCTTAGCAACGACTCACGCAACTATGACTGCTCGTTCTCTGCAGAACTCGCTTCTTACAGACTTTACATCATAGGAAGGCAGAAAGAAGGACATAAACATAAAGCAATTTGTTGCTGAAGAGGTAAGTTTTCTTTGCCGAGTTAATGATCATGTCTCATTTTTCATCCTGGCCAATGCACTGAGGTCACTCACACAAGGTACCAAAACAAGAGCAGCGAGTGACCACTGACAGTGATGCATTACAGATCGTTTAAACGAAGAAATTAACTTCAAAAACCTTAAATACGAATTGAGCCAGAAAAATGTTGGTTCTGGTAAAGCAGTTACTGTTCCAGAGTGACTGATGGGTAACAGAGCTGTACTCCACACTGACGTGACAGTGCAGCACCATCTAAAACAGACCTAACAACCGAAGTTCAGAAGAGCAACACTTGCTTACAGAAAAGGAGACCTACGGTTAAGTTTTAACCAATTAAGTTAGATCGGGATGAAAAGGTTTGCATCAGGTTATATCTTAAAAATTTAAACTAAATTGAAAAGTACTCATTTTAGAATGAAATGGAAGTCACCTTCATTAGGTAACGTCAGCAGGAAGCGACTTGTAAAACAAATGGAGAGCAGGAGGCAGAGAGCAGCAAATGCCTGCATGCCTGTGCTAAGGCTGCTAGCACTGCAACTGCTTCCCATGTAACAGAACCAAACAAACATAGATATATATATACAGAAACAGTATTTCACTCTTCAACTACTGCCAAGGTCTTATTTTCAATCGCTGAAAACCTGGTTTTGATTTACAGAATTTTGATATTAGAAGTGAAAAAGGCGAGCATCATGTGGTCCTCATCCATTTTTAGATATGTTTGAGTCTCATTTCTACATACGTGAACATAAGGCCCCAAACAACCAATCATTAGGGAGGTGCATTATTACTGAGAAGGAAATCGTACAACAACCTCAGTATTTTAGAAGTCCAATGAAAACCAGTAGAATTGGATTTAAAGCAAAGTAGAAACTAACATCATCATGACATTTGTATTTTGCAAGATAGTAAAAGAGGACATTAAATGGAAAGAACAGAAAGGAACCATCCACTTCAGCTGAAAGTGAAAACACTGAGCAGCCACGGCTTTGAAAGAAGTACCTTAATTTAGTTCTTAGTCTCCAAAAAAATCGGTGATATCATTTAGAAAGGTACAAAAACATCAAATTGCATTCATGACAATGTATGTAACTTAAAAGACAGCGTATTGCTGCTTCAACTTCAGCCTTCCAACCAGCAAAAGTCCATGCCACGCTTCTCACCCTGCTAGCAGACATGTGTTTCAGAAGTCCATACTTCTCAGCAAAAGCCTAAAATAAATCTTTATCTTTTTCCAGCACGTGACCTCGCAAAGGGACAAAAACACTCAACCCGAATGTGATTCAATGTCACGTCTGTCAGGATTTCTTAACCCACAATTTACTTCCTGCAGGTTCTCCACGACATCCACAGCACAGCATTAACCCACTGCGACACAGCCCGGCCCCACCTGCACCGCTCCTTTCTCTGCTGACAGATGGGGGAGAAAAGTGACATCGTCCCCCAAACCTCTGACACAGCTCACACCTCCTGCCTGCAGCCCGACCTATTTGCAGCACGGCACTCATCGATCATACAGCTCCTTTACTAAGAGTGAGGTTGAAAGGATGCGGCGTGAGGAAGGCTTTGATACAACACCAGAATCTCCAGCGCTTTATCAAACGCTGTCACTGTCTGTAGCAAGCAAGTGCGGGTGGTGACAGCACCGATCCCAGAACCTCATCACGCATTTAGTGGGACACTGAAAACTTCCTTCCGCTCCTGCCCCGGGAATCACGCAGCACACCGCACGCTTATTGCCGCTCTAAGCTTTTCAATCAGATTGCCGTAAATAACTTTCCGGTGCTTCCAAGTGGAATCCTCCTCCTCCTCCTCCTCTCTCCCACCGCTGCCGCAGGGTGATGCCCGGCTCCCGAAGGTCGATTTCTAACACGCGATCCCGATCGGGGGACAGCGGTTACCAGACAAAGAGACGCCCCGTTCAGCGGCACGGCGCACCATTCGTCGCCCCGCGCCCGTTCGGAGGCCCGCGAAGCCCCGGGGGGCGCCGGCCCCGCTCAGCCCCCGCCGCCCCGAGCGGAGGAAGCCCGGCAGCCGCACCGGCCCCAAGTTCCCGGCCCCGTCGCTCGGCTCCCGGCCCCGCGCTTCCGCCCGAGCCCCGCCGGGCCCCCCGCCTCCCCCGGCAGAGCCCCCCTCCCTCCCCCAAGCGTGTTTACCCCCGGAAGCCCCTCAGCCCTCCCCTCCTCCTCCTCCTCCCGCCCTTTCTGCCGCGGCCCCGGCCCCGCTCCCGCCCCCGGCCCGGTGCTCACTCTCGAAGGCCTGAAGAAAGAGCTCGTGGTCGGCCTGGATCTGCTCCATCTTCGGCTTCTTCACGGGGGGCAGCGCGGCCGTCGTCGCCGCCGCCGCCGAGGAGGCCGAGGAACCGCCCGAGTAACCGCTTCCTCCGCCGCTGCCGCCTCCTCCCGCCGCCCCACCGGATTTACCGGCCGGAGCCGCCGCCGCGGCGGAGCCCACGAACCCTCCGCCTCCGCTGCCGCTGCCGCCGCCGCCAGCAGCAGCAGCAGCACCACCACCGCCGCCGCCGCCGCCGCCGCCGCCGCCACCTCCTCCTCCTCCTCCTCCTCCTCCGCCGCCGCCGCCTCCACCTCCTCCTCCGGCCGCGCAGCCGGCAGAGCCCGAGCTGGGCCCCGCGCCTCCACCGTGCTTCTGAGGAGCCATGGGCCCGGCCCCGAGAGCGCCCCGGCGGGACGGAGACCGAGCGGGGAGGGAGGGAGGGGGCGGCCGGGGCGGGTGGGCGAGGAGGGGGGAGGGGAAGCGCCGAGCTCCAACTCCTCTAAGTCTCCTCCGCTCCGCTCTCCTCAGCGCTACGACCAGCCGAACCCGACGACCACGACGCGCCCGCCTCCGCCACTCTCCCATTGGCTCCGAAGATGGCGCCGCAGCGCCCAATTGGCCGGCGCCGGGCCCGCCCCCGCGTGACGCACGGATGGTTCTGGAAGAGTTTGGTTGGTCGGTGCGGCTCGCCGCTTGGCGCTTCTCCCCTCCCCCTCCTTTGAACTGAATTCGCGGGAAAGGGCCGCTCGCCCTCCGGCGCGGGGCACGCTGGGTAAAGCGGGCCGCCTCCGCCTGGCGCCCGCCCCGCCGCCCGGCTCTCAGCGTTGCACCGCGGCTCCGGCGCTCGGCTGGGCGCTCCGTTCTCGCTATGCTTCCGCGGCCGCCCGGGGTGCCACTGCCCCGTTCACATGAGGCGACCCGCCGCAGCCCTGAGGAGCCGGCTCGCTCCGAGCCTCCCGTCTGGTGACAGCCGGCATCGCTTCATGTGGTAAAAGTGGCCGCGCTGCGTCGGAGCGGAGGTGTGGCTGCTGCGGAACCTTCACCCTCAGCCCTGGGGTTCCTTCAGAGGGGAGGAGGCGCGGGGCGAACGAGGCTGAGGCAAAACGTCTGCCTGGCGCCCTCCAAACCGCTCAGCGGCGCGCGGCCAGCAGAGCGGCTGTCCCACGGGCACGGCTGCCCCGTCCCACCGGTCCGGCTGTCCCCACCGCTCCCTTTGCTCTCCACAGAACTTTCCCGCCCACGTGCGAAGCGTGGCGCTCTGAAGCGATGACGGGCGGGAAGCGAAGCTCGGCCGGGGCCGGTGGTGCTGTAACTGCCTCACGTTATCGGCGGGGCTCTCAGCTGACGTTTGTCGCTCGTCTGTGCTTTAATGAAATGTCGGTACGCGTACCTACACACACGTGGGTAACTGTCGTTATTGGCTATTTATGTTCCTTTTGAGCTCTATCTTGCGTAGTTTTGCTTGTTGTACTTGAATATTTATTGTATATGTCTCTAATTACCTCTTGCTTATTTTTTTGTCTGCTACTCAAAATTTACATTTTGAGTTTTATATATACATATATCTGCACTAATTTCTGTGCACTTCTTTAAGTTCATCTTTGCCACCTTTTCACCTACATTCTCCCTTTTTTTGTACCTCCAAAAATGTTATATTTATTAAAGATTACGTTACACACCTTATCCTGTTCATCATCACAGTCTTTGCTTAGTATTGCAGTTTCTTAGTCACACAGTCATTAAGGTTGGAAAAGACCACTAAGATGGTCCATTGCAACCACAGTGTGTTCCCTAAGGTTCCCTGCGCTCCCCAGCCTGTTCATTGCTGCTGCTGAATGTACCCTCAGTCACCTTCTGGCAGCAGTAAGCTCCTCAGAAACGTACATGTAGCTTCTCATAACACCAGGGGACTTCTTGCTAATGCTGGTGTTGCACTGGGTGTCTGTCAGTCTTCTGTCAGCATAAATAGCCACAGAGCATCTCCAGGTGATCAAAGGCTGATCTTGAGGCCAGTGATGCACTGTGCCAGTCAACTTGGTGAGAGAAAGACTCCTGAATCTACAGCTGTTCCTGGAAGTTGTTCACTGCCTGTCATCTATCCCTGTTTCCTGCCTGCTGTTTATGTGCCTCCGCTGCTTCTGGTGGTGCATCCTTCTCAATTTCAGAACCAGGAGGAGGAGCCAGAGGGCAACTTTCCAGACGGGAGTAAGAAAGATAATTAGGTAATTAATCTCTGGTGCAGGACTGAGACCCGCCTGCGAAAAGAGAGACTAAGCATGAGGCATTAGCCTTGGGTGTGGTGGGACAGTGCAACAAAGTTGTGTATGTGTCAGCCCTTTGGAGTCATAGCAGTGATTGCCAAACTGAAAAATTTTAGTCGTTAGAGCTTCTTTTTCTTGGTTTGTAAAATACTCCTTTTCAGAAGGAAAAGGCCGTATTTAGCAAATGACTGCAAAGTCAGCAAAAGCATTTGTTATAAATAAGAAGATATCCTAATATAATGCAAAAGAAAAAAAAGGCCAGTTTCAGAAGGCTAATGTGATAAATTAAAGCAACAGTCATTTGCAAACAAGGTGTGTTCTTGGACTAAATGTCTGGTAGTGAAAGCAGAAATAGTTGGCAGAATGTTTTCATGATATGTCAGAGTTCATGGCTCAGAATGGCCAATCCTGTCATATTTTCCTGTACCAATACTGGGATTTGCATTTTATGTCTGAAAGATCACATTTGTTTTCGGTTGATTGAATGCATATGCTACTTCTAAATCTTTTTCATAAGATTTACTGCCATGTACTTACTCAGCATTCCTGTCATTCCAAAAGGCTGAAGTGCACCAATTTTATACCAATAGAGTACCTCTTCAGATATGTAGGAAAACAACTACACACAGGCTATTTCACTTCAGGATTTTTTTCTTTATTTCATAGTTACATGCTTTTCTTGCTTGTCTGTGATAATTCTACTGTTCTCCCTACATCTTTAAACCTGTCCATCTAGAAATGGGTAGAAATGAACAGATACAATCACACAGGTGGCTGTGAGCCCTGCAGAAGAGCCCTGTCATTAAAGCAAATACACACGGTCAGAGTTACTACTACGTATCTGTTTCTCTTTCCTGATAATTTTACATATAAATTTGGAACAAAAGAATAGTGCTGAATATAAACTTACTGTCAAGCATTAAACATTTGCTTACTGACTCAGGCCATCATGTAAGCCACTGCCAGTATTCATTAGGGAGTGCTACGACGTCTCACTGGTACGGAACTGAAACTTGCCACGCAGGGTGTTGCTGAGAATAACAAATCCAGAGTGAATGTTCTGGGCAGCTGTGTTTCAATCCCATGTAATCGTGATCATGTTGACTGCGATTCAAGGGCATTCGGCTCCTCTTCTGTAGCTGCCTTCTTTATGCTTTCAGGTTCTATTTACTGTCTCTCTGTTCAGCCCACCAAGACCCACCAGAAGTGAGCATCAAAATTAAAACTAGTACATTTGGAAGGTATAGGTCCTGCTGCTGATTTGCTGTGCTCCAAAATACAGATCTGTTTCACTGGCATTTCTTTCTTCCTTTTTCTTTCCCTTAAGCCCCTCAAGTGAGTTTTGCTAGATGCAGAAGTTTCACCTGCAGTAGTTGTTAATTCATTCTTCAGTTCATATTCTTTATCTTCAGTCTGATTCACATTTGATTAGCAATAACAGGGCACAGATATAATTAGATAAACTAATCTTCACTATGTACTTGGAAAGCAGAACTCAACTCCCACACAGTGCTCTCCCTGTCTCTTGTGGACAGTGAAAAGATAGGTGATATTTCAACTAGAGGAAGAGAATTGCTCCAGCCCTCTGGGTAATGGTGTGAGAATGGGTAGGCGGGGTGCGGAGTATATTTAGGATGGCAGGATCATATTGCAGTTGGGGTGGTAGCTGGGAGTTTGCTTTCCTGCATGTTAATGTCTACTGCTGCCCTGTTTTTGTAAGCAGAGAACTAAGAAAAAAGAAAATGAACTTTACTGTAAGGGAAAATCTTTACTGAAGCGTGGCAAAAAGAGGAACTAAGATCTTATGTAGCAATCCCAGTATTCTGATGTATAGCTATGAATGCAGCATGCAGGAAGATTGGCAGAGCAGCCACTTGTGATTCTCATTCACGTGTTTGGCTGAGGACTGCTTTTGTACAGAGCTGTTCAAATGTATTCCAGGAGCACAGTGCTCAGGCAGCTGGGCCCTGGGGGAATCTGAAGGCACCCATAATGCCCAGCTTGCAGTCAGCAGGTTGCTTACTTGTCTCGAGTTATTGAAGAGCATGAGAAGTAAATGCACACCATGTTTCACACACTAGGTCTCTTATCTTCGGAATTCCTACTATGAAAAAGGAGTGATAATTATTGTTCCTTATTGCTAAGTAGCAATGCGTGCTCAGGACTTGTTTCTCAGAGTTTTCTTAGTGATATTTTAATACAGTTTTAATGATTCATCCACCGAGAAATTTATTTCTTGATTCTCAGATAATTATTTGGTTTTGCTTGATGAGTTTTTAACGGTAATATGTTTCTTTAGAGTTTGATACTGGACTATAAAAACTACAAGAATTGTTACAAAAGCATTGCGAAAAGCACAGCTCCGGTTTATTATTTTGGTCTAGAAGGGTAGGAGACCTCTTAGGATAATTTAACTGTAATTATTTAAGTATTTAACTGTAAGCCCACAAATCCAATAACAGCAGAAGCGTTCATTACCAAAAAATTCACAAATGTGAAGCTTAACTAAACTTTTCATGGAAAAGTGAGAGTGTTATCAGAGTTTTTACGTGTAGGGCTTGCTTCAGATGGCATCTGTAAGAATTTACTCTGTTTTTTGAACACTGCTCAAGATTGCTTATACTGTAGTCTATAATGTGAATTAACCATACTTGCAGAAATAGTTTTACTGGCTGTTGCTAGGACTGTGGTGGAAGCAGTTTCACCATGCTAAATAAAGCTCCACATGAGGAGATGAGAAACACAGCAGGAGGCAAATTGTGACCAACAATGATAAACCGCCAATCCTAATCCCACTTCTTGGATGGAGAAACAAATCTTTATCTGGCGTAATTTATGCTCTTTGGTATGTCATCTTCATTGACTCTTAAAATGTAAAAGATCAAGACTTCTCTAAGGAAATTCTGTATTTATTTGCCTTGTCTTTTGTTGTTGTTGTTATTGTTTTTTTCATGTGTCACCCAAAACTATGGCACAATTTTACCTTTTTGAACCTAAACAGACCTGGGAGATGAAGATTAGCAAGACTCCACTCTTTAGAGCTCTTGCAAAACTACTAAATAAAAATGTGTGTGCAAGAAATAATATTAAATGAGAGCTCATTAAGCAATACATGTCACAGTG